AGGGAAATGGGTTCCAAGGTTTGTAAAATATTATTACAAAACAAGAATATCATATTTATATTTATTAGAAATATTAAATATTTTATAATAATATAATATATTATATTTTATAATATTATATAAATATATATATAGTTACATTGAATATAAATAAGCAAAATAACTAAAAGTAGAAAAAGAGTTAAATTGTTGAACAATCATGCTTTGCATAAATAACAAAAATAAATTTTAATTATCGCATATATATATATAAAGATAAAACATTATGTAGAAATAATTGGAATAATTAGATTACAATATAGTTATCAAATAATAAAACTTTTTAAGTAGTAATTAGAGATATGTATAATTATCTTACATATGTAAATGAATAAATTTAGTGGTTTTTTTTTTTTTTAGATTATAACAAAACTTTGTCCATCGATGTTATCTCACGTCGTTGGGAATGTTTGTGTCTCGATCGTAAAGAATTAAATTTAATAATGATGATAGGAAAATTTCGTCGAAAGTGTCAAGTGAAAAAATTTTTGGCAATAGCCGTTGGACTTTTAGGATCTAGTTTACGTGAGACAATGATTATGATTTGTGAATTATTTACACATGAACCTGATGGTGGATCGGCCATGGTTCCTGTTACATTATTCATGGAAATTTATGGGTCTGTGCGTTATTTTAAAAAATTCAATCTCTTAGATATAATATATTCAAATATGACTTCTAATTTATTGGATCAATATTTATTATAATTATAATATGAGAGCATGGATAATAATTTTTTTACTACAATTATAAATACTCTATGATTATCTAATAAAAATACTCACAAATTATTAATTACAGTGAACGAATTAATTGCATACATTAAAAATGTATTGTATAAAATATTGATCAAACAAATAGAAGTATAATTAATCATAAATAATATTCTAATCTTATTTATAGATATTTAGCTGGTCTTAGATGCGATGGTAGTGAAAGAAGTTCATCGGATGAAGATCCAACAGAATTTCTTGTATTTGATGAATCTAACAGTAGTTCATCTTCAAAAGGACATGAATCTCTTGATAATATTTCTATTGATCGAGTATATTCGATTGCTAGTCAAGATACCGATGCCGATGTCAATTTAGATTTGGATTTAATTTCTAAAGAAGCTGCTGATTCCTCGAACAGTAAATACCTTTTGAATTCTCTCACTTTAATACAAAACAAAATGTATTGAAGTAATAAATTAAATATTTAATTAATAATTTGATTCTCATTAGTGATCTTATCACCAGAAATTAGCAGAAGTTGTTCAACTCGAGATGAGGATTCGAATAATGTCGAAGATAAAATTTCATGCAGTAATAATAATACAGAAGAATCATCATCAGATAGAACATTGAAACGGGAAGAGGATAGCAATGTTTCTGACTTTACAATAGAACCAAGTAAATCTTTTAATTTGGAAGATGTTCGAACAAAATCATCTAAAAGTGAAGATAAAGTGAAAAACGTAACAAACGATGACGCAAATGGAAGAAATTCGTCTAATAAAAGTGACGTGTCGATAGCTAAAGAAAGAAAAAAATTCAAAATTGCTAATACTCAATTACTTTCATATTATCCAAATATTCCAGGTATATCTTTTTGTTTCATTAACAATTTAAATTCTAATTTTTATATTAATTTTTATTTTATTTTTTGAGTTCACTTTTTATTCTGCAAAGTGTTTTTCTATGACAGTTATATGTTACTACAGTTAACAATAAACAACTGACAAATGAACTTAGGTCATTTTCAAAGTGAACGTCTCATATAGGGTTGTAATATATTATGCACATTTTTGATATTATTTGTTACAGGTATAGGTCCTCGTTTATCTCCAGAAGATGTAGCAAGTGTTGCTGTATGGATGAGTGAATGTGCTAGATTACAAGAAGGAATGATAGGACCACGTAATCTTCGACATCCACAATGTCCTCCTCTATGTAAGCAAAAACAATCTGAATCATGATAGTAATGTATACAGTATATTTGAAATTTCAAAAATTAGTCAATCTCCTTTATTGTTAGCTGAGAATAAATTATTCGTTCTATAATAAAATTATTTAAAACGTTTTGAAAGGTAGATTAATATTTTTTTATCTGAAAAATCTGTCACAGTTCAATATTTTCATTTTTGTTATAAGCACATAAAACAAATCAAGTTTATTTCAAAATTGTTTTAATACATGTATATAAAGAATGACATATAGTTTATTTGGTATATATATGTTGATGCAACCATCATATAACAAATATTATACTTATATGTATGTATAGATATATATATATATATGATTTCATTATAATTGCACAAAAAAATGTGTCGAGATTATTTTTTGTTAATATCACCAGTATTGTCTTCGTTAGAATATTATGGTTTGTTTTTGTTGTTGTATTTTCTTTTAACTACAGAAAATTTATTATTGACATAAGTTTGTACATATACACTTCTATATAAATAATATTATTTGTTCTAAACGTATAGTTAATATAAAATAATATAATTATAATATATTATTAAAAATTATATGACATATATTATATATCAACTCTATGAATATATACAGGGTGTCCTGTGTAACTGATGGTACAAGCAAGCAGAAGGTGATATCATCAGTTACAGGACATCCCATATATATTCACTTATTATTAATAAATATATTTTATTTACTATCTTTCTCTCTCTTTCTTTTTCTTTCTATTGTGTACAATGTATCATTGATTAAGTTTAGAAAAAGAAAATTGTCTATTTAACATCGTGTATCTAAATACACATTTATTTTATCATTTTTATCCAGATATAAATGACTAGTTTTGTTTCTTCTTCAATTTTATTTGGAACATTTATGTATAGATATAGATATGCAAATTTTATTGATTCTTAATATTTACACTTTATATGGTAAGTTATAAAGCCATTTACTTTGACTATATTAAACATCAATCAATAAAAACAAAATATATCACTCACAATTAATTATATCTAACTAGAATAAAAAAAACAATTGATTTGTACAAATAAAAATTTGGCTTGTACTCAAGTCTTTAGTCACCTTTTTTTTTTTTAAATAATAATAATAATAATAATAACATAGTACTTAATAAAATTATAATAAGAAGCTAAAAAGATCATATCCTTTTGCAAGTATTACATAAAAATTAAGCTATTATATAGTTTAGTCAGTTTGTATTATTAATGATTAGCAAATATTTCAGTTAGACTTAAAATTAGAAAATTTTTACGTTTTAAAAATATTATATTATAATACACAGAAATAAAAAAAAGCTATGAAAAATTGTTATTTAACTTTTTTTTTTTTCTTTCATTTTCTTCTTTACCTATGAAAATTTGTTATTTATATAAGATCAACAATATTATATACATATATATATATATTTCTATTTCATAGAAAGATAATTATTATATTAATATCTATGATATATCACAGTCAAAACGCTGTTACTTATTTTTTTTTAGAAAAGAATCTCTCAAAGTCATGCATAATATCACATACTTTCAACAATATATCATAATAATTTGTTATCTAATAACAATATGTTGCTTTTGTTTTTCACCTTTTTTTTTTACAATTCGTTGTAAATATGTACATACACAACCCCAACTATTAATTATTTTTATTTAATAATGAAAAATGTCCATATAAGAATGGTTTTATGATTGAATGATAAATTGTTTACTGAAATAACTTTCTGTCTCTTTCTTTTCATTTCTTTCATTAATACGTAAATCTCTTAGAAATAAACAAAAAATTACATGAGAGAATACATATACAATTAATATTTTTTCCTGAGATCAAATCTGATTAATTCTTCTGACTGAAGATAATTGTTTTTATAAATAAATCGGATTATACCGATTTGACTGACTATTCTATCTTTTACTTTTCTCTTCTCACCTTACTATTAAAACTTAGGTATATACGAATGATTGATTCGTATTTGAAATCAATATTGAAAAAATATTTGTTCATTAGTTATAATTATACAAGGAGAGTAGGTAATGTGCGAATACGAAATATTCTTCGTATATGATAATATGATAAATGGTAAATCGTAATGATAAATAACATAATTATGAGCAATAATAATAAGTTTCGTGTTTTTGCACGATTTGATCTCCATTCGATAAGTTCTTCGCGATAAGAAAATCTATTACGAAATTGTGGAGGTAGTTCAAATGTACTTTTCAAAGGATACAATGAACGATAAAAATCATTCAATAATGCTCGTACTACTTCATTTTCTGAATTACGTGATGGATCCATATCATCATTTAAACATATAAATTTTCTGTAACATATACAAAATTATAATTAACATGTTTTATTATTTTATTTAATGTATTAAAGTAAAACTTACTTTGGATCACGTCTAATCTCATCTAAGAGTTGCACAGTTAGAGACACGTTACTGGTTAACATTTCAAATATCTCATTTTTTCCAGCTTTTATAACTTCGTGTTTGTAACGTTTACATTCACCAAATTTTGCCTCAATTTTTGATGCAACCCAATCACAATTTGATATTAATTCTTTAGATACTACTGGCTGTAACATTTAATAAAAAAATATTATTATATTTGTTTCATAATATTAGTCAAGAAATTTTACATCTTATTGTTTACTAACCAAAGTAGAATCTAAATATCTTTCACCAGGTGGTGCTTTTATATCTTCTTTAAGTTCTAAATGTTTAGAACAATTAATGATTGAATCTTCAAATTCTACAACCAAATTATAATCTAATGGTAAAGGATACAATCTAGATAAAAGTGTTCGTATTTCTCTATCCGACCAAGTTCTAAAAAGAAATATATATCAATATTATTTTATTATATTTATTATAAGTTAATTATAATTAAATAAAATGATGTAATATTATTTACCCTGATTTATCAGTATCAAATTTATCAAATATATCTCCAACCGGTATGTACAGGTTCTCACTCATTAAAAAGTAGAAATATGAGAATGCAAATTGCATGTCTTCTGGACTTCTTACTTTATGACTAGAAGTTTTAATAAAATCAGACTCAAATTTTCTTTGCATACTATTAACAATCCATTTGTCTATCAAGTGTGGCATATGAGCTGGAACTTTTCTTCTGTCAAAGCCATAATTTATATTATATATTTTGTTAACGTGCAGCAAAGATTCCGCATATGTATCAAGCTGTCTCTTTTTATGTTTCCATTGATCGCTATACTTGAATTTATTTGACTTAATAGTGTTATTTCCTTGTACTAGATTAATGATATCATCATTGAGGTAGCGTTTGAATTGTATATGTAATTTAGTATGATTAGAATTGTCAAGTATATTATCAGGTAAGTCATTACTGTCGCTGAGTTTTATTGTTTTATTATTATCATAATATTCCTTGATATCAGAAAACTTTTTAATATCACTTGTAGAAGAACTATGATTTTTTGAATTTAATGTTCTATGAGTAATCGTTGCAGTATGCACAGATGCAACTACAGCGCTATTATTTATTACTTCTGAGTTATCATATATCATAGTGGTAGATTTATTTTTATCTTCTATTATTTGTAAGTATTTATATGGATAATCATTTTCTTCCTCGAATGGCTCGCTATCAGTAGATAATAAAGTAGAATTACAATCTCCGCCTAAATAGGAGAGATATTATAATAATGCAAATAAATCATACCGTCATATAAAATTGTAAAAGCCAATTACCATCAAATTCGCATAAAGTTGTATTGCATGCAGGATCACATGACCCATCACCTACCCAAGCCCATGGACAAATATCAGAACAGTCAGGAACCCACCATGCTAGATACACTTTTTGACCACCTGCTTGAGTTATAAAATCTTCTGGCCATACTTCAGCGCCAAGCATTACATCATCATTAAAATATAAAAACTTATCAGAAATACCAGGAATTCTAAAAACACAAAATCATTCACATGATCAATGTACAATTTATTTATCATGTGTTGGATAAAAGATAAAAATTCAAATTTAAGTAATATACCTATGAATATGACTTTCAATAGCTGGACTAGAAAAAGTTGGCAAATGACTTTTATCAAGAAAAATATCATCATGAGTAACAAGAGTCATCCTAGGATTATCCATATCTAACCAACTTGGAATCTGTCCATTGGTAACGATATAAACATGTCTGACCCAAGGTGCATACATTTCTAATGATCTTAAAGAATATCTTAACTCATCTTTGTCACTGAACCTTGATGAAACTGTATTACTATCAGTAATAGGAATATGTTTTTGAAGACTTTTTAAAAAATGTGGATCGGATCCATTAACCCACGTATAAACTACATCAATAGGTACGTGCTGGCATAATTTCTTTTGAAAAGATTTTCCTAATATATTGTCATTGAAAGAATGAAAAACAGCTTCATATTTTTCTTTACTCCATGCCAACCAAACCTATAAAAAAAAAGCAACATTTACAAATTATTTTGAATTTTTTTTTACAAAAATACATTAAAAATACAAATATTTTTAAATATAAATTAATACAATTATTTGTTTATAAAAATAAAAAAATAATAAAAGATATTTTTAAATACTAGAAAAAATCCAAAATTTTATGAATTTCCCTCCAAAATATAATTAAGTTTATCTATAAGATAATGTAATGACGTAATTATAGTCATTTAAAATCAAATATGTTATAACACTTTAGATCATAATTTTAATTAATAAAATTTGAAAGAATATAAAAATAAAATATAATAAATGAAAAAGAAACAAATAATAAAGAAATCTTAGTTACTCATATGTCAATCCTAACCTCTCCAAAGTGTATAATACCGATGAATATGCAAGTAAATGCAACTAGAATCACCAAGAGCGAATATTTGTACGAAAGAATATCGTAACATCGTCGTTGGAACAATTTCCATGCGCTCATTATATTAAGAAATATTTTACACGTAATTGACATAGCCGGTAAACACGTTAAAGTCCATCAAACAGCAGCAATTCACGGCTCTTTAGCCGTGATCATGCAAATTCAATTGATTTAATGATTAACTTTGTGTTGGTGTCCTCTGCATTGATGAATTGCACATATATACATCAATATTTATTCTTCATAGAAGGTTAATTTATTACTAATACACCATCGGTATACTAATAGAAAACTTGAACACATATCACACACAAGCACACACATTCACGTTTAATAAACCGCTGTCACATCACCATCCATGGTGGTCTCACTCAACAATAAAACGCAGTTAACTCTCAATTGTAATACAGTTTGCCGCATTCAAGGTTATGATACTTTTGCGCATGTTTCGATTATCGTTCTTTAAATCTTTCGATTTATAAAATGATGATTTAATATAATGACAAAATTTTGTTTAAATGGCATTGAAAAGAAAGAGAATGAAAAAAAAAATATAATATCCTGGGAAGTATGTCTCACTGGTTAAGGGTATGATCCCGTGGGATAATAATAGCTAGCTCTGACGCTCTCACGTTTGCTATTTTTAAATATATTTATTTACAGCTTTAATAAATTAATATTTTTAGCAGAGGTTTCAAATCATTAAGCTGGAAAAAAAATTATTGCAAGACACTGTCAAATTTGATCTTATTAAAAAATTTGAAAAAATAATATGATATCTATATAAGTTAAGAAAAATGATCTATTTGTTAAGAAATAAATTAATTACTATTGTTAATTCCAATAATCTAATAATTAAATGAAGTTACCAAAATAACAAATCACGTGTTTTTATTAGTGTCCCTGATGATAGGCAACGCTTTATATTTCTAATTTAGTAATTTGACTCATATATATTGTCAATAAATTTTTTTAATACCCCTTATGATAGGCAATACGATGTTATGCATATGAACGACGGGTTGCCATATATGGGGGGTGTTATCCAGCACCCCTAGTCTGGAGTGTTGCCTGTCTTCAGGCGCAAAATTTTCAATCTTTTTTTTCTTTTTTTTTGTTTCGTTCAAACTAAGCAATAAAATATAATATCTTTAATAAACATTTATATATATATATATAATACAATTTAATTTTCAACGTGTTTAAAAGTATTTCAAATGTATTTATTTATCTTCGTATATAGTACAATTAAATAATAAATATTTAAATAATAATAAAGAATAAACGGTAAAATTACAATAAATATGCGAATATTTCTGATCGATTGATTTAATTAATTTACAATAAATACGAAAAGTATTAAAATCGAAACGTTTAAAAATCGGTGGTCCGTCTTGTTTTTTCTCTTCACGTTATTTTATCCTCTTGTATTCTTTTCTTTTTATAGAACTCTACCTAACGTCAAATTTGTACATTTTTTTTTCAAGTGTTTAAGCGTAATTGTTGCTCTTATAAAGAATTATGTACATTTAAATAATTTCTGGACGTTGCGTTAAAGATTAAATAGAAAAAAAGAAAAATCTTATTTATCATAGTCTCGACAACTTTTCTATTTATAATTACTTTCTTGTCTGCGATGTAGCGTAAAAATTTGTTAAAATTGTAATTGGTCATCAATAAATAATTTATATTACAATAATTTGGTGATTTTTCTATCTATAGAAAAAAAAAACCAAATATTTATGAAATTATAATTGATTTTATTGGCCACAATATAATTCTTCCTAATGACGTTTAATCAATTTTTCGTTTGCTTTTTGAGCAAAAAAGAATATTCCCTAGCCAACGTATTTTAAAAATTTGTACAAAAATAAGATGCTCATTACTTGAATTAATTTACGTAGCCAATACAACCTGTAACATAGAAAAAGACAAAAATGTAATTAGATTAGAAGAAATGAAAAAAATGAATGAATTAGTTGAAACTCACTTGGAAAGTCGACTTCGTGCTTTTTTCAAGGAATCAGGATCATCTTTTAAAATGTATGTTCTAATACCCAAAGTATATTGACGCGTATACGCATCCCAATCGATGTCTTTAAAGTCAACACGAAAATGATTACAATCGTTCATAGTTTTAACATGTTTAATCAAATCCATCATATTGTCTAAAGCAAAATTCCATTCGTGTAAGGCAAAAAATGATCCAACTTTTGCAGCTCGATCGATACGTTTCGACAGGTTTAACATCCTGTATAATAAAAATGAAACAAATCTATATAGATATGTTCATATTTATTAATTTAAGAGTTACCTTTTCTTTGATAATATTTACATCGGTTTACTACCCTGACATATTAACAACATATCCAATAAGAATGCAGGTACAAAGTGTAATATAACGACTATTATTTTGTGAATTAATTTGTTGGTTCTAATTGCAACGTTAGGATACCACATAACGTATTTCGATGGAAATTCTATAACATGTTTTCTTATGTGTTTAGCAAAATCTCCCCAACTGTAAAAAAAATATAAGATTGTCATGGTTAAACATATTGTTAATCATTTTATTTTTGTCATTAATAAATTACCTGATAGGATTGCTAGTGCTACTTGTACAATTGTAAACTTGAATAGAACCATTACGATGTACTGTACCATGCCAAGCTGCACATATCAATGTATCAACAACATAATCAACTGGTACAACATCAATTTTCAATTTTCTATCCCCGTATATACTCCTAATGGTACCTCTACCAATTTCAGTTATAATACCTACAAAATACAAAGTATAATAATGAACAATATTTGATATATTTAAGTAAATAAATATAAGTAATTTATATAATTTATTCTCTCATACCTGTAATACCATATAAATTATCTACCCATCCTGGAAGTGGTTCCTTATAAGCAGCACAAATTATACTAGGTCTAACTATTATAGTTGGTAAATCAATTCCTTTTTTCGATACGAGCTCTTCAGCAATACCTTTTGTTAATGTATAAGTATTTGGATGTTTTTCAAGTAATTTTGTTTCTAATAACGTTAATGTATCATCATCAAGATTTTCACACATATCCATGATGACTTGTGGTGTTATTTTTGTTCTGTAAAAATTGTTGTTTCATTTGTCATTATTCAATATTTTTCACGTTATTTCATTCAAAGAACGATTGAATATGATAAAAATATGAACTCACTTATAAACGAGTTCTTTTACTTCGTGTTTATCAGCGTTACTGTAAGCTGTACTAACATGGACAAAGCTTTTAAGACGTGTTATAGATTTACATAAATCTAAAATCCTATCCGTTGCTCTAATATTCAATTTAACGGCTAATTTGAGTGGTTCGGTAAAACGCACAGTAGCTGCACAGTGAAAAACTATATTTACGGTTTGAGTTAATTTCATTTTGTCTTCGTGACTCAAACCCAAGTCTTTTTCGCTCACATCACCTTTTATCGGATAAACTTTGTTTATTAAATCGGGATTTTCGCAACGAATTTTATCGAAAATCTGTAAAAGAAAAAAGAACATCTCACATTATTCCTTAGTCTTAAGATAATGAATTAAATAATCGTATGGGTAAAGTTAAGCAGAGAGATCGTCAATGATCTAAAAAAATTGAATTTAATTTGATTCGCGTAGATTTTTATTAAAAACAATTCAAATAACTATATTTCTAATTGATATTTTGATTACAATATTGAAACATCGAGTTATAAAATTATTTTGTAATTTGTAAGAATTGATAAAATAACTTGACCCATTTTTCTACTATCTTTTCATATATTTCACGATATTGAATAAAACATTGGGTTTTATCAAAGGGAGTGTGTAATATTAATTTAAAATAAAATATGTAACGCACACACACACACACACCAGACACGGGGGACGCAATTAAAACTTACCGAATTATTCATAAGCATCTTAAATCTTTCTTTAACTATTTGATCCTTTTTTGGGCGAATCAGTAAATAGATCTTGCTTAATCGTGAACACGATCGTAAAAGTTTTTCTATGAGAGCTTTTCCGACAAAACCAGTTGCACCGGTTACGAATATTACTGAATCTGCAAAGAAGGCCTCGATCGAAGTATCACTGGTCTTATCTCTGATACATTCCGAATCAGTGTAAGCACTTGTTGTACCCATTTTGATGATAACTCAAAAAACTCTTCTTTCCTTAACTCTTAACAACAAAAACAACAACAAAACAAATAAATAAATAAGAGACAACGATAAGAAATATAATAAGAATTAATAATTATATCATTTTGTTTATCTTAATCAATTTATCTCGGATTGGTCAATAAATATTGTCATAATTTTCAATTTAATACAAAAACAAATAATTATTTTTATATAACATATAATATTTTATTTATATTAATATATATATAATTTATATTAAATATATAAAATATTATTATATCATTTATTTAATGAAATTTTTGTTAATTTAAATATGAATTAATAAACATACCGACATTATTTATTAACAAATCCGAATGATATAAAATTAGGTTATCATATTTAATTATCAATTATTTCTTCATTATTCTCTTCATAAATAGTTTATTAGATTATTATTATTATTATTGTTTTCAACGATAAATCGATTAATGTTCCAGAACTATTTTATGACTTATGTGTCGAAGAACGATGCTAATGTTTGTTCAAACATACTAAGAAATTGATCGATTTATTATATATATATATGTATAGTTTTTTATTTATGTTTTCTATTTGTTATTATGATTTTGTATTTGTATTGTTCTGTATTTGAAATGATTTGATAAAAATATCACGAGGACAGCTTACGTGAATAAAATCGATCGTCGTGAGATATTTTTTTTTTTATTCTTGTATAAATTCACCTATCCAACCTTCTCCCTTGATAGTTTAAACTATTCTTACATTTATGCGTGTTCTAGAAAACTTTTATAAACTAACATACACACATAGACACACTCGCACACGCGCACACGCACACACACCAGGAATATAAAGAATTATTAACAAACTTATTTTCTTGTTACTATTTTTTATATGCATCATTTATAATAATGCACATGTAATGCTGCATAATACACTTCTAATTAAAAAAGAAAGAAATTTAATTATAGTAAAAAATATAAACGTCATTAAAAATTTTCCTAATGACGTTTATTTTTTACTTTAATTATAAGAAACGAAATACGATTAATTAACAGTTTATAAATTTGTTTAAAAAAAAAAAAAAAAAATAAAAAAAAAAACATTTCATTTGTATTCTAATATAGTTCTATTCATAATAAAACGCGAAGTTAATTTATGGACAAAAAAATGTTTATAAATTTCCATTTGAAAAGAAAAGAAAAAAAAAAAGAGAGAAACTACTAAACTTTAAAAAAATGACCTTGAGAAAAGGTACTTTTCCTGGCATGAAGAACACGAGAATTCCATTATTAAAATAGTATAAGTTGATCCTTGACAAGATTTTTCCATAAAAAAAAAAAAATATATAAATAAAAAAGATATTTTTGTTTAATATATTGGATCACTGAGTATTTATATAATACTAACACGTAGTATAATATATAAATAAATAATAAATAAATATATAATTTATATATGATTTCCAATAGAATGATCTTGTAAAAAGACTATAAATACGTCTAAAGATATTACGGTAAGAGATGACAAGAGTTTACATACGATACATTAATGGCCAGTCTTGGATACTATAAATATAGTTATGTTGTTCATGTAAATGCAAAATGTGGTTACAAATGTACAATATTGTGAATAGAAAATATAGCACATACTCATATACAGGTATGAGTTTGCTATACTCCTTTTCAACGATGTGAACGTGCGCATGGAAAGCATGCCACAAAATAATCGATGTCGCCATACCTATGCATGATAAATATCGAAATGTCACCCTTTCCATAACCCATATTTCACGCTTATCTATTCTTCTATATAGATGCGTGTATATCTCTTTCTCTATCTATGAGAGACTCACATTTATGCTAACCAATGTCAAAAACAAAATTTTCTTTTTTAATTTGGTAATTTTTTCTTTTTACTTTTTTTCTCACAAAATTATGATGGGATAAAAGTTAATAATAATTCATTTCTTTTATATTAGAATTTCATTTGTGAGGAAAAACATGTCGTAATTAATGGGTTTATTATTTCAAATATAATGTTAAAGGTAATTAGTTTGTTTTACGAATATACGTCTGTATGTATGTATATATATATATATATATATATA